TGGACGGGGCTGGTCAAGGGCGGGGCTCCCCCTGCCGGCCAAATAGGCGGTGGCAGATTGGGGGCCCTGAAAGTGCGGGGGAACCCCGTCCCCATCAGGGGGGGTGGCAACCCTAAATTCTAGGGGATCTCCAGGTCCCACCTGGAGGCTGGCTTCCCTCGCTGAAGCGGCAGTAACCCTTCACAAACTCTATTTCCCCTGCTCTGCAGGTTCGAAATCACTGCACGCGTCTAGGAGGACATGGGCCGAATCAAACCGAAACTCACGTCGGACGGCAGCTTCTGTTTCAAGACAGCCGAGCACTTTTTACGCAAAGTTTGTCCTTCGGGGCAATTCCCCTTGCCCGTGTTTCCACTTAGGTTCGAAGTAAACACGACCTATCGGCGTGTGCCTCTCTGCAGTCCATTAGCGCCCTAACTAATAGAATGATGTTACATTAGTTCTGTGCGGAGGCACGCGCAGGGAAAAGGAAGTTCAGGGCTTGCCACGGGGCTCTTGGTTTGAAAAACAAAGACGAAGACCGCTCTCTGTCTCTTGGCAACAGAGTGGCTGAGCGGAGAAGCATCCTGCTCGCTTTGGCCGCCAGCGCTGAACTCTGGGAGCAGAGAGCCGTTCTCCGTGAAAAGGGGCCATTCGGCTCTAAATTAAAATGGGTGGCTGTTTTTCGAGAGCAGAGCCTGGAAAGCAAAAAAAATTTTAAAGTCAGAAATCTATTATGGCTTTTCTCGCTTTTACTTATCCGGGGTGTGTGTGTGTGTGTCTCTCCTTTGACAGACAAACAAACAGAGCTCAAATCCTCTAAGAACAGCCAGTTTGGTGTCGTGGTTAAGTGGTCATGTGATTGCACCTTACACATCGAGTATACTCGATGTATACTCGATGTGTAAGGTGCAATCACATGACCAGATTACTATAAAGCTCCAGCATTTTAAAATTTATCCACACTGCTTTTTACTTGTGAATATTGTGGCAACACAATCAAAGAAGGTTATTTGTGGACCATAGGTGGATTTTATAATCACTGGGCTAGTGATTGCACTAAAAAGGTTTCATGTGCATATTTATCCTGTGCCTGGTTATTTTACTTCTGAACAATTTACTTTATGGTCCTTGTTGAATTTATAGTTTGTATATATTCCTGATTGTGTTTTTATGAATGTAACTATTTACCATCTAGCCACACTTGTATGACCTCTGAGGAAGGCCGATTCGGCCGAAACGCGTCAGGTCAACTCTTTTAGCCCTGGTTATGGTTATGTTTTATATATATTGGTTATAATTGGGCCCCTATATATGTTTTAATTTGATATTATCAATAAATACATGTACCTCTTTTTATGAAAAGGTTTTAATATTGGCCCTCTTTTCCACTAACCTTTGTTTGGTTTTGCACCACATATGGTAAAACATACCTACATGCTTTCTACACTTCCAGCAACTATTTGGCATGTTTTTATACATTGGGAGGGGAAGGGAAAGGAGTTTGTCAGCCACTCTGAGACTCCTTCGTGTAGTGAAGGGCCATGGGGTATAAATCCAATCTCTTCTCTCTTCTTCTTCTGGCAAGGGATGCCAACATCCAGGTCAAACCTGGAGATCCCCCGGAATGACAGCTCATCTTCAGACTGCTCCCTGGAGAAAGCGACTGCTTGAGGATGGACTCAGTGTTCCCTCTAAGCTGATTTAGTGTGAGCCGGCTCACAGTTCTTTAGCCTCCGGCTCACCCATTTTCGCCTTCGCTCGGGAAGGAGGGCTCCAGAGCAAACTGATTGATGCAGTAGCAAAACCGCTCGCTTACAACTAATGCCAGTAGCTCACAAAGTACAACCTTTGCTCACAAGACTCCACAGCTTAGAGGGAGCATGGGGTGAACTCGATGGCACTGTACCCCACTGAGGTCCCTGTCCTCCCCAGGCTCCACCCCCAAGTCTCCAGGAGTTTCCCTACCTGGGGCTGTCAACCCTACCCTCCACTCCCCCATCGGTGGCCGGGGGGGACCTGGCAACCCTACCGCCCTTCCAGCTGCAGTCGCGGCCAGGGTCCTTCTGCCGGTCTACAGGTATGAATCATGCAAATTCTAATTTGTATTAATGCAACAATACTGAATCCAACCCATTGTACATGTTTTACAGAAAATAAGGACGTCACAAGATGAAATGAAGACGTCAGCAGATGAAACTGGACGAACTCCCCCGGAGTTAACATTCGTTTCGAGGTGTCTTTTTCATACATAAGACATCATGCAGCTGTGCAGCCACATGATCACGAATCTTCCAGATTGGACTTTCCTTTGTTCCTATACATTTTGAAGTTACTCACAAACAGCTCTTAGCCATAATATCAAAACCGGGCTGATCAGTTTGTGAGTAACTTCAAAACGTATAGGAACAGAGGAAAGTCCAATCTGGAAGATTCGTGATCATGTGGATGCACAGCTGTATGAGGTCTTAGGTATGAAAAAGACACCTCGAAACAAATGTTAACTCCGGGGGAGAGTCCGTCCAGTTTCATCTGCTGACGCCTTCATTTCATCTTGTGACGTCCTTATTTTCTGTAAAACATAAGTGTACAATGGATTGGATCCAATATTGTTGCATTAATACAAATTAGAATTTGCATGATTTGCACTATTTGCAGTAGTTCTATTGTGTTGGTTTATGTCATACTGCAACCCCCTTCATTTGTTGAGTCTCCAGGTATGTGCGCATCAGATCGCTGGCCAAGAAAAGACGCAGTACGGAGCACGGTCCAGGGGGCACCAATCAGCAGGAGCTGAACAGGAGCTCTCCCCCATCCCCAAATCTACAGGAGTTCCGAAACCTGGAACTGGCAAAAACCCACTGCCGCCAGCAGCTGGGGGTGGGGGTGGGGGGCTGGCACCTCTAATTCCAGTGCTGATCATTTAAAAAAAAACCTTTGTGTGTGATAGGAGCTGTTCTCTCAAGGGCGGTTCTCGAGAGAGCTCTCTCAGCCCCACCTGCCTCACAGGGTATCTGTTGTGGGGAGGGGGAGGGAAAGGAGTTTGTCAGCCACTATGAGACTGGGGTGTGGCCTGGTGAGATGTGTGTTGAAGATGCGCCTGAACTCTGCTGTCCGGAACTCCTATCCTCTGCTCACACATCGGAGCTTTATCTCCGCTAGAAGCATAAAGATGTCAGGGCTCATTCTCCTCTGCTCATTTGGACCCAGATATCCTCCAGTTTCTTGGCCGGCTGTGTGGATGTTTCAAGATATTGTACCTGAGATCGGAAGGTTTTTGCAGTAGCTGTCAACTTTTGAGGCTACACGCTGTCGTTAGCGTTTGTCGGGGATCTTTCCTGTAAGGACAACCTCTCCCCCCCCCCCCCCCCCCGTAGAATTACTGCGCAACGAAAGACTGTGAACTGCTTTGCAACCAGATGAGCTTTTGCCTGTCTCTTTAAAATACTGGACGGCAATTAGGGATGAGAGCGAACAGAGAAATGAACCATGGTTCAAGCACGAACCTGACGGGTTCGCGGCTCGTTTTGAACTGGTTCATTTGGTCGCGTCGTTCCCTGATCCAAAAACAAACCGCCTTTTTTCCATGGAGGTTTGTTTGGTTCGCTAGAGTGGTTTGTTCTCCGGACAGCCTGGCGCCGTTTCAGTCAATTGCTAGGTAATGCTGGGGGTGGACTTGTGGAGAGCCCCAGAAACACATGGCAGTGGTCCATAGCTTGATTGGAGCTATGGAGCTCCCATTCTGCTCTGTGGGAGCAAATTGTGTGTGTGTGTGTGTGTGTATACAGGGCTTTTTTGTAGAAAAAGGCCAGCAGCAGCTCATTAGCATAATAGGCCACACCCAACAGCAGGTACTCATTAGCATATTAGGCCACACCCTTGACAGCACTGCTCATTAGCATATTAGGTCACACCCCATGTTACCAGAAGTGTGGTCATCCGGCCACACCCACCTTTTGCTTCTTATTCTGTTTACCTTGTTTGTTGTCAAAACCCAGGGCTTTTTTTGGAGCAGGAACTCCTTTGCATGTTAGGCCACACACCCCTAATGTAGCCAACCCTAATGAGTTTCTGCTGTTGGGTGTGGCCTATTATGCTAATGAGTTCCTGCCAGGTGTGGCCAGCCGGAACTCTATTTCTGTGCGTTCCTGCCCAAAAAGAGCCCTGTATGTATGTATGTATGTATGCATGTATGTATGTACACCACACCCTGACTCAGCTGCTTTCACTTTGCAGCGGGAAGAGAGAGGAGTCAGTTGTCCTGTGACAGCAAGTTAGGAAGAATTGCTTGCTGTGTGTCTGATTTAAGGGGAGGCTAGAGCTGAGCTTTCCTGAGGGTACCTGCTTTGGGGGGCTATACTTCAGACATCCCAAATCCAATCTTTGCAAAACTGGAGGGTGCATGGAGGCTCATTAGGAGGCTGTTCCACCACCTCCCAAACTCTTGAACTGAATGAACCAAGAATGTTTCGGGAAACAGGAAAAGTTTGTGAAAGATCGCAAAAGTTCATGGTTCGTGGAATCAAATGAACCGTGAACCACCATCTTCCCAGTTTGTGCCCATCCCTAATGACAATCCTTAGTGCAGGGATACCCAAGCTTTTTGAGTCTCTGGGTACCCTTTGAATTCTGACACGCCATGGGAGGTACAGCCATACGATGGCGGTCATGCCGTGGCTGCCACAGGAGGCCTCCTCCATTCCCTCACAGCAACCCTGTGAGGTTGGCCGAGCTGAGAGTTTGTGATGGGCCTGAGGTCAACCCAGCATCGCTTCCTCGGCAAAGGTTGGGATTTGAACCCGGGTCGCCCAGGATTGCTTGTCTGCACTGGGTTGCTGAACTTGGACTGTGCTCTGGAGCTGTCCAGAGCCCCACAGGATCTTCCTGGCTTCTGAAACCAAGATCACCCTTTCCTCTGTCTTCCACTCATGATTGTTCTTTCAGCTATCCTTATGTTATTTATTCAAATGTTTGTATCCTGCCTCTCCCCCCACCAAAAAAAGGGGCCCGGGGCATCTTACCATAGAAAGAGTTGGGAGTAGCCGCTAGACGCTTTCCCCATCAGTCCCTGCTGAGCCATCTGTTGCCGCCTTTGCAGAGAGGCCTCTTCCTGAACGAGAAGCACCACAAAAACATAAGTAGAGCCCCATTAGATCAGACCAATCATCCTTCTCGTCCAGCATCCTGACTCACATAGTGGCCAACCAGTTCCTCTGGATAGCCAACAACAGGGCAGGGAGGCCAAGGCCATCCCCTGATAAGAACGTAAGGAGAGCCATGCTGGATCAGGCCAATAGTCCATGTAGTCCAGCATCCTGTCTCACACAGTGGCCAACCAGTTCCTCTGGAGGGCCAACAATAGGGCACAGAGGCCGAGGCCTCCCGCTCATGATAAGAACATCAGAGGATCCCTGCTGGATCAGACCACTGGTCCATCTAGTCTAGCATCCCATCTTATACAGTGGCCACCCAGTTCCTCTGGACAGCCAACAACAGGGCACAGAGGCTGAGGCCTTCAAAAGAACATCAGAAGAGCCCCGCTGGATCAGACCAGTGGTCCATCTAGTCCAGCATCCTCTCTCACACAGTGGCCACCCAGTTCCTCTGAACGGCTAACAACAGGGCAGAAATGCTGAGACCTTCATAAGAACATCAGAAGAGCCCTGCTGGATCAGACCAGGGGTCCATCCAGTCCAGCATCCTGTCTCTCACAGTGGCCACCCAGTTCCTCTGGAGGGCCAACAACAGGGCAGAGAGGCGGAGGCCTTCCCCGACGTTGCCTCCTGGTTCTGGGATGATCTAGCTCTGAATGTCCTGCATTGAGCTGGGGGGGGGGGGTTTGGACTAGATGGCTTTGAAGGACCCTTTCCGATTCTCTGGCTGCAGTGTGAGAAAGAGGGGCCCTTTGCTCTTGAATGGCTTCTCCTTCTTTGGAGATGACATGTCAACTCAATCGAATCTGACGCTCAGTATAGAACTCTTTGACCGAGTTCTCTGGATGGCACTATTTGCCCCGGGCTGATCAAGACTCTAAATCAGCACAGAAATCCCCTCCCGCCTCTGTCCCTCCATCCATCTCCTTTGCCCGGCCTTTGTGACACGTGAAAAATGCTTTCGTCAGCTCTTTGCCGATAAGAGTTATGGGAACGGTGGGGTGAGGCGGGGAATAACTGGCTGAGAAGCAACAGTCCCAAGCAAAGATGCCAAGTTTATATATAGCCAGACAGGAACCTGGAAGGAAGATAATAGTGTGGTGGCGGGGGGGAGGGGGGGCGTATGGGCTCAAGGACACCACTGTAGTTGCATTATAGAGGGCAGCTGAGCTGGCCCGCAGTAGAAGAGCTGGATCTGAGTCCTGATGATTTTTGGAGTGGGGCCCATGGAGAGGGGGATCCGAGGAGGGATTTTACATATAGCCTGTGGTATACCATAGAGTTTTCCCTCTGCAGCTGCCGTCTTCCTGCAGGAGAACGGATCTCTGTGGCCTGCGGATCGGCTGTAATTCCGGGAGAACTCCAAGCCTCATAAGAACATATGAGAAGCCAATGCTGGATCAGGCCAGTGGCCCCTCCAGTCCAACACTCTGTCACACAGTGGCCAAAAATACCAGGTGCCATCGGGAGGTCCAGCAGTGGGGCCAGGACAACTAGAAGCCCTCCCATTGTTGCCCCCCTACCAAGCACCAAGAAGACAGAGCATCCCTTGCCCCAGACTGAGAGTTCCTATCTATACCTTGTGGCTAATAGCCACTGATGGACCTCTGCTTCTCGTCAGCCCCCGCACAACTCCCGGGCACCTCCTCCGACCACCAGAGGTAGTTGCTTTTATTTGGGGGGTATTAACTGCCCAAACCAAGTTTGCAGAAAAATCTGTTTTGGGTAAGCGTGGCTCCAGTCCACAGATTTATGTATCTGTAGATGGGGGGAAATAGACCTACAGATATTAAATTTTATTTTAAAGACATGGTCTGCGGTGCCCCTTGTGCCCTGAAAAGCAGCTGGACATGCAGAAACTGAGCTGGCCAGGTGTCCTCCAGCACGGAGATAAAGTGACGTGGAAAGAATCCTGGACAGTCTTCGCAGGTCGGGATGCAGTTAAAAGTGCCGGAGCGCGGCAGCGACTGGAATATCGCTCCGTTTTTTATATCCCGTTCCCCCCTTTCAGTATTAATGAAAGCCGTTCGCTGGGCGATGGGTAGCAGGCAGGTTTTCGACTTTTCCTCTCCATCTGGAGTCGTAACTCCAGACGTCAGAAAGTGGGACGAGATTTACTTATCCAGAAGGCGGGGTGGGAATAACTCCACAGCTGCCGGCCCTGCTGTACCGAAAATCAGCGTTACGACTTCATAATTCTAGAATGAAGGGGGGGGGGTTTCCTCCGCAAAAGCTTTCTTCAGATTTATACCCCCTCCCTACACACAGCACCCTCAGAAACACACAAAATTGTCCTCCAGAGTCTTAAATGCATCTTGTTTAGACCCTGAGTTTAGTTTCAGGTTATTGACTCTTGGTTGGGAAATCACTGGAGATTTGGGAGTTGACCCTGGGGAGGGGAGGGGACTTCAGTAGGATATAATACTAGAGATTCCACCCTCCAAAGCAGCCATTTTGTCCAGGGGAACTGATCTTCGTAGTCTGGAGATCAGTTGGGTGTAAGCTTTTGAGGGTTAAACCTCCCTTCATCAGAACCAACTTGTATCCGATGAAGGGAGCTTTGACTCTCAAAGGCTTATACCAAAAAAATCTCTAAGGAGCTACTGGACTCAAATTGAGCTGTTCTACTGCGGATCAAGGAGCTGCGATGCCTCAAATGGTTAAGACGCTGAACTGCAGGCTGTGGAAGGTCGGTAGTTCAGCAGTTCGAGACCCGAGTGTGCCGCATGACGGAGTGAGCTCCCGTCTCTGGTTCCAGCTCCTGCCAACCTAGCAGTTTGAAAGCAAGAAATTGCAAGTAGATAAATAGGTACCACTTCGGTGGGAAGGTAACAGCGTTCCGTGCGCCTTGGTGTTTAGTCATGCCGGCCACATGACCACGGAAACGTCTTCGGACAGCGCTGGCTCTTCGGCTTGGAAACGGAGATGAGCACCGCAACCCTAGAGTCGGATTCGACTGGCTTTCGAGCAAGGGAACCTTTACCTTTACCTTACTGCGGATCAACGTGGCTACCCTAGAATCACAGAATCATCGAACTGGAAGGGACCTCCAGGGTCATCTGGTCCAACCCCCTGCACAATGCAGGAAATTCACAAATACCTCCTCCTCCACATCCCCAGTGACCCCTGTTCCATGCCCAGAAGATGGAAAGAAAACCCTCCAGGATCTCCAGGCCAGTTTGCTTCCTGGCCCCAGAGTGGCGATCGGCATTTCCCTGGACATGTACGAAAGGGCCACGAGAACTAAGCACTGAGGCAGCCCTTCCGGTTTGGTGCCAGTTTGAGCCAGTTTGGTGTGGTGGTTAAGTGCGTGGACTCTGGGAGAACCGGGTTTGATTCCCCACTCCTCCACTTGCACCTGGCTGGATGACCTTGGGCAAGCCATAGTTCTGTCAGAGCTGTTCTTGAAAAAGAGCCGTTTCTGTCAGAGCTCTCTCAGCCCCGCCAACCTCACAGGGTGTCTGTGGTGGGGAGGGGAAGGGAAAGGAGTTTGTCAGCCGCTCTGAGACTCCTCTGGGTAGTGAAGGGCGGGGTATCAATCCAATCTCCTCTTCTTCTTCCTGCCTTCCTTCTCACGATCTGCCTAAGTTCACAGGATCAGCATTGCTGCCAGATGGCCACCTAGCCTCTGCTTCCAAACCTCCAAGGAAGGAGAGCCCACCACCTCCCGAGGAAGCCTGTTCCACTGAGGAACTGCTCTGTCAGGAAGTTCTTCCTCATGTTTATCCGAAAACCCTTTTGATTTAATTTCAGCCCGTTGGTACTGGCCCGACCTTCAGGGGCAACAGAAGACAACTCTGCACCATCCTCTCTATATGACAGTCCTCTAAGTACTCGAAGATGGCTATCGTATCACCTCTCCGGTCTAAACATGCCCAGCTTCTTCAACCTTTCCTCATAGGACTTGGTCTTCAGATCAGTTGGGGACCTCTGGAACCGGAGATCAGCTGCAATTCAGGGAGATCTCCGGGCCTCCCCTGGTCATTGGCCACCCTGGTTTAACTCACAGGCAAGCAAGTCTTTCAGCCTGAGGGCACCATTTGGGTCTTTGCCTACTTTTGAGGCCACCATATTAGAAGAAGAAGAGGAAGAAGAGGAAGAAGAGGAAGAAGAGGAAGAAGAGGAAGAAGAGGAAGAAGAGGAAGAAGAGGAAGAAGAGGAAGAAGAGGAAGAAGAGGAAGAAGAGGAAGAAGAGGAAGAAGAGGAAGAAGAGGAAGAAGAGGAAGAAGAGGAAGAAGAGGAAGAAGAGGAAGAAGAGGAAGAAGAGGAAGAAGAGGAAGAAGAGGAAGAAGAGGAAGAAGAGGAAGAAGAGGAAGAAGAGGAAGAAGAGGAAGAAGAGGAAGAAGAGGAAGAAGAGGAAGAAGAGGAAGAAGAGGAAGAAGAGGAAGAAGAGGAAGAAGAGGAAGAAGAGGAAGAAGAGGAAGAAGAGGAAGAAGAGGAAGAAGAGGAAGAAGAGGAAGAAGAGGAAGAAGAGGAAGAAGAGGAAGAAGAGGAAGAAGAGGAAGAAGAGGAAGAAGAGGAAGAAGAGGAAGAAGAGGAAGAAGAGGAAGAAGAGGAAGAAGAGGAAGAAGAGGAAGAAGAGGAAGAAGAGGAAGAAGAGGAAGAAGAGGAAGAAGAGGAAGAAGAGGAGATTGGATTTATACCCCGCCCTTCACTCAGAGTCCCAGAGCGGCTTACAAGCTCCTTTCCCTTCCCCTCCCCACAACAGACACTCTGTCAGGTAGGTGGGGCTGAGAGAGCTTTTGACAGAAATGGCTCTTTTTCAAGAACAGCTCTTATCAGAACTGTGGCTTGCCCAAGGTCATCCAGCAGCCAGGTGCAAGTGGAGGAGTGGGGAATCAAACCCGGTTCTCCCAGATTAGAGTCCACGCACTGAACCACGACACCAAACTGGCTCCTCTTATTAGCTGCCAGCTCTTCCTCTGCCACTGTGACACCCCGGCCAACCACTTTCTGGGAGTCAACGCAACAGGCCGATGTTCCTGACGCGTGGTTAGGCAGTTAGAGGAGGGGGTGTCAAATATATGGCCCGCGGGCCAGAACCGGCCCATCCGGGGCTCTTATCCGCCCCACCTCTTGAGCCAGTATCCTATCATATGAATCACCCAGGAACGGTTGCTCAGCCTGGCCCACCTCACGGGGTTGTTGTTGTTGGGGATGGGGCAGTGGAGGGGGGAGTCCGGTGTGCCTCCTCGGGATCCTCAGAGGTAGGACAGGGGAGAAGAGAGGAAACAAAGAGCAAGAGACGGATCGTAGCTGTGCTTGGCTGCTGAGGGCGGCTGCTGAAACACCACCTTCCTTACTTGCAAGGAAGATGACTCATCTCCTAAAAGGGCTATATATACAAAAGCAACGAATTTGTATGGAAATGTAAGATCCCCCCTCCTCCTTTTATGGTATCTCTTGGGGGGGGGGGAACCTAGTCTTGCACGTGATTGAATGCATTTATTGGGGCTTTTGTGGGTTCCCCATTAAATCAGTTACTTTTACTGCTAGGAATCAGTCGTTTTTGTTTGTGTTTTGAGTAGAAAATAATACCATTATTTGTGGCATGGCGTGATCTGGTCCATGAGGTCGCACAGAGTCAGACTCGACTGTGCGACTGAACAACAGCAGCAAAAGTGGCCTTCATACAGTTTATAATTCCAGTATCTAGTATTACATTTTATGGCACACATGGCCTGCCCCGACAAAGTGACATTTATGACAAATCCGGCCCTCCTAACGAATTAGTTTGACACCCCTCAATTAGAGGGCCAAGAGCTGTATGTAGTCCCCTGGCTGTGATTTCTCACCTCTGGCTTCATCTCCCACCCTTTAAAGAGAACAGAGACGCCCTCCTAACGAATGAGTTCGACACCCCTCAATTAGAGGGCCAGAAGAAAATCTCCCAAGAGCTGTATGTAGTCCCCTAGCTGTGATTTCACACCTCTGGCTTCATCTCCCACCCTTCAAAGAGAACAGAGACGCTTCAAGGGTAGACTACAAAGTGAGACTGCTGGATTTCATGCACAAGTTCATAACAAGGGACCCACCCCGGAGCTGAATAGGGAAACAGGATTCTTATTTCACGACAGATGCTCATTTTCTGCCCCTACACATTTCTCTACTGCTCAAATCAAGTTGATTACATCACTTCTGAAGAAGTGAGCAGTGACTCACGGAAGCTCCTCCCCTGCCACCAATTTTTAAGGTGCTCCTAGACTCTTGCTCTTTTCCACTGCTGCAGACAGACTAACATGGCGACCCATCTCTATCTATCTGAAGAAGTGAGCAGTGACTCAGGAAAGCTCCTATCTGAAGAAGTGAGCAGTGTCTCAGGAAAGCTCCTATCCGAAGAAGTGAGCAGTGACTCAGGAAAGTTCCTTCCTACCCTGCTTTAAATGTTGTTAGTCTTTAAGGTACTCCTGGACTCTTGTTCTTTTCTACTTATACAGACAGACTAACACAGCTAGCCATTTGATCTATATCCATAGAAGGCAACACATTTAGCCGTACAGAATGGACATCCATCAACCTTGTGATATAAGGACAGATGGACTCCCATTCTAGCTGTATTTGAAGAAGTGAGCAGTCACTCAGGAAAGCTCCTCCCCTGCCACAAATGTTGTTAGTCTTTCAGGTGCTCCTGGACTCTTCCTCTTTTCCACTGCTACAGACAGACTAACATTGGCTCCCCTCCAGCTGATCACATCTTACACTGTACCTGACTCCCTTTTCACAACACCCTTCCCACCTTCTGACTGGGATAAAAGGACTCGGACGTCTCCATTCCGACTTGTATCTGTTAAAGTGAGCTGTGACTCTGGAAAGCTCATAACCCAAAAAACTCTCTGGTCTCTAAGGCGCTAGTGGACTCGAATCAGCTGTCCTACTGCAGAACAACATGGCTTCCCCCAGAAACACCCTTCAAGGGGCAGTAAAGTGGCAAACCCCCCTGCCCCTTGAAGAAGAGTTGGTTTTATACCCCACTATTCACTACCCAATGTTGGATCAGGCCAAAGGCCCATCCAGTCCAACACTCTGTGTCACACAGTGGCCAGAAATACCAGTGCCATCAGGAGGTCCAGCAGTGGGGCCGAAGGAGTTGGAGCGGCTTGCAATCACCTTACCTTCCCCTCTCCACAACAGACATCTGTGAGGTAGGTGGGGCTGAGAGAGCTCTTTCGAGAACTGCTCTTTCAAGAACAGCTCTGAAAGAACTTGTGACTGACCCAAGATCACACAGCTGACTGCACGTGAAGGAGGAATGGGGAATCGAAACCGGTTCTCCAGATTAGAGTCCTCAGTTTTCATGCTATACTTTCGAATGAGTGAAGTTCTTTGTACAATCCAGTTTTTCTCACTCAGAGAGACAAAATATTCCATGAGGAGATTTTTCAATGCTCCTCCAAATTTTCCGATTTTTCCATTAGAAAAGTTTGAAAAAACTTCAGAACCCAACCTCTTAGTTCACCTTTCTCTGCTCAGCAGTCTCAAGGCATGTTACAATGCTATTAAAAAGTAATATAAAATCATCAGCACCAATCCAAGCCCAACTTTAGGTGTGGATTGATCTTGGGGGGAAAGAAACCCCACTCACCACTGGTGTTTTTTGTTCCGAAAGCTTGGCTGATATTCTGGCAGCGTAATTCCTGGCTGATGAATCCAAGAATTCACTTGTCGTGGACCCCTGGGCTACACCATCGTTGCCTTTGACGGTGGCTGCCGTTTTTTTGTCTGCCGTTTTTTCAGGAGCTAAGAAAGAAGAAATAACGTTGCCCAGGCTGAGAAATGAGGTTAATGGCATCACTAGCCCACAAAAATCTCTGTGGTCCATTCATCATTTGTGCTTCCACTGTGGATATGAGCTGCATTAGAACATCAGAGAAGCATCACTGCCCCAGACATAAGAAGATAAGAGAAGCCACGTTGGATGAGGCCAGTGGCCCATCCGGTCCAACACTCTGTGCTACACAGTGGACAAAACCCAGGTGCCCTCAGGAGGAACCCAGGTGCCATCAGGAGGTCCACCAGCAGGGCCATGAGAACATAAGAGAAGCCATGTTTGGATCAGGCCAATGGCCCCTCCAGTCCAACACTCTGTGTCACACAGTGGACCAAACCCAGGTGCCTTCAGGAGGTCCACCAGTGGGGTGAGGACTCCAGAAGCCCACCCACTGTGGCTCCCACAAGCACCAAGAAGACAGAGCATCACTGCCCCAGACATAAGAATGTAAGAGAAGCTATGTTGGATCAGGCCAGTGGCCCACCCAGTCCAACACTCTGTGTCACACAGTGGACCAAACCCAGGTGCCTTCAGGAGGTCCACCAGTGGGGTGAGGACTCCAGAAGCCCACCCACTGTGGCTCCCACAAGCACCAAGAAGACAGAGCATCACTGCCCCAGACATAAGAACCCTCAAGCACCAAGAAGACAGAGCATCACTCCCCCAGACATAAGAACGTAAGAGAAGCCATGTTGGATCAAGCCAGTGGCCCACCCAGTCCAACACTCTATGTCACACAGTGGCCAAACGCCAGGTGCCAGCAAATTCCCCCTTTATGTTCTCCAATGGGACAGAACTGCATATGAGTACAGCCAGGGGTCATTTCCTGTGGGAGCACACAGGAGCGGAGCTCCGGCAGTAAGGAGCCCAGGGGGGCGGGCACATGCAACAAGAGCTCTCTCCCTGCAACAATCTCTTCTTCCTCTTCTGCTTCTTCTCCTCTCCAGTGAAGCAAAGATCCATTGCAAGCTCTGAGTATTTAAGTATTTTTGCCTATTTTCCCAACAAAAATGACAATTTTAGGGTTTGCCCAGTGGCCAGAGGTGACCCTCTGTGGAGGTAAACTAAAGTGAGGTAGAGGCATCAACAGCGATGGCGGCGGCAATGGCGGTGGAGCAGTTCCTGACGACCCAGTGGAGCGATGTCGACGTCGGAGGCGGAGCCTGGAGAGGCAAAGGCTGGAGAGCGTGGTGACGTGCGGCGCGGCAGAGCCACCAAGGACATTAGCCGGAGCCGCAGCCGACACAGAGCTACGCGCCAGAAA